AAAATGGCACAGTCCCAAGGTAATTAAGCAACATAACAGGCCACTAGTTCAAGTCCAGAAACAGTCCCCAGATCGGCAGGCAACATGGCAGGCTACTGAATGAAGACTCAGCTATATGAAGGGTCCAAGCATGCCAAAAAGCTGAAAACCTTTCTCAAAGCATCAACTTATATACTGGAAGCAGACCACATCCCTAAGACAGCTACTCAGCTGCTCACAGTAGCTTCCAACATGGAGTTGATTATGAGTGTCATCATTGGAAAAAACTTCATCCAGCTGCCCAGCCACTCAAAATCAGGCCCAGCCAAGTGGATATATAGCCTTAACTACCACACCCCATCTTCCTTTTTGTGGAGCAGCTGGTGGGTTTGAACCGTCAACCTTCTGGTTAGCAGTCAAATATTTTAGGCACTTTGTCACCAGAGCTCCTTTAGTTTAAACATAGTAGATCTTTAATACTTACTTGAATAAGTAATTAAATAGATTTCCCAAAGATCCGAATAAAAATATCTAACGAAAATTACAAAGTTGCATTTAGTAGGTACTGTACACTAATGGGCTAATGAATGAACCTTTGGCATTGCTAGATATTCCTATATACTAACGAGAATTAATTGATTATCCAATAAGCAAGGATATGCATGGGCTTAATTGTGCCCACTTGCAATCTGTAGTGCACAGTTACACATGGATTTCAGGACATCTCCCATGCATACCTTACTTAATGTAATCTGGTGCACACTGTGCTTACAAATTACCCTGCCTCTGTGTATAAGGCATGGTGCTAGGTGTGGGTGTACAAGAACTAAGGGATTGAAGCAGTATTTATCAAGAGGGACAGTGAATAAAAAGATAATTTTGCAGTAGGAAATAAATTTTATAGCAGATATAAACACAAACAGGTAACCTAACATGAGGGTGGGGGTGGTGGGGGTAGCAGTAGTCAGTAAGCCAGCCCTCCACAAGGATGTGCTTTCTGAGTGCAACTTATCATCCAAAAAGCCAGCATGGAAGGAAAGCTTTTAGCAAAATCCTTATCATCTCTCCCAGTCTTCACCCTGTGTTCAGTCAAGAGAAATAAACTTGAGACCTGTCATATCTCCACATGTGCTTGTTTGATTTTGAGCTGTATAAGGCTGCAAGGTGGCATTGGTAGCCAGAATAAGCAACAGGAATGGCTCTAGGGACCATATTCATTCATCATTTATCCTTTAATTGATGCCACCCAACTTATTCCCTTCAATTTGCTTTCCTTTAATGCCAAAGCCAGTTTACCTGCATTGATGACATGTATAGTTAAGAGAATATGCTCAGAAACTAACACATATTGAGTTCATAATGTGCAACATGCAGTTCTAGGGCCTCTATCTTTTCCTTAAAGCAGAAGCAGATTACCCTGTAAGCAAGAAAATCATGGACTCACTTGTGGTTACTTACTGATCTGTAGTGAATAATTTCATACGGTTTTAATCACATCTGAAAGTATGTCAATTGTTCACTACAGATTAGTAAGTAAGTACCAGTAAGCCCGTGTGTACCTTGATTACTGGGTATTCTGTTTCTGCCCCAAACACCAAGCTCACTGCTGTTGAGTCAGTTCTGACTCATAGTGACCCCTCCTTGGGTTTCCGAGGGGGTATATCTATGCAAGTAGATTGCCCAGTCTTCCTTCTGAGGATTGTAAATTTGAAAAGAGGCTTTGAGTCTTTAGAAAGGTGCTGTGGGGTAGGTAGTAAGATAGTTGTCAGTCATACCTAGAAGCAGAATCTTTGATGTGGTGAAAAAAATGTGAAATTGCTCATTAACCAACAATATCCCAAATCCACTGCTACGAGTTGATTCTAGCTCATAATAACCCTATAGGACAGAGTAGATCTCCCCCATTGGGTTTCCAAGGCTGTAAATTTTGATGGAAGCAGACAGCCTCATCATTTATCTATCTATCTATTTATTTATTTATTTATATTGTGATTTGGTGAAAATTTATAGAGCAAATTCACTTTCCATACAGTAGTTCACATACCCTTTGTCTCATGACATTGACCACAGTTCACCACAATGCAACAGCTCCCCTCCCACTTCCTCCCAGCAGTCACCTCTTCCCTGTCCATCCTTCCATGCACCCCTGCCCCCTGAGCTGTTTCCACTGTGCATAAACAGCCCTTCTTTCTCCAATGATTGTTCTCTCCAAGGAGTGTGTCTACCTCAGGTAGATACATATGCCTCAGACAGCCTCATCTTTCTTGCAGAGTGGCTGGTGGGTTTGAACCATTGACTTTCAGTTTATAGTTAGGCCTATTAACTGCTGAGCCACCAGGGATCCTCCAATTTTTCACTACAGATTAATCAACACACATAAATAAGCCCTTGCTTATCTTTCTTATTGGATAATCTGACACTGACTTAAAGTCATGATTCCCGCTCATCAGAAAGCACAACAGTTCAATCTGAGAGAATTATTTGAATTTTTGCTTACTGGGGCTCCTTATACTGAGAATGACTTTTGTAAGGCCACAGTAAGGAGAAAAGGACGCACAAAAGTGAGGTTAAAGAGAAGTTTTTTATTCTGAGTTTCCGGGGGAGGTTTACGGGCCCCCGAGAAGGGCCCGGGCGAGGTTCACGGGTCCCTGAGAGGGGCCCGGGAAGTCGCACCGCCTGGCTGGGGAGGGGAGGGTTTATAGTCTTGTGGAGGACCTAAGCGGGGACACTAAGGAAATAGTGGGGTCCAATTAGCTGTTAGTATGGGTCTGTACTTAATTAGCATGAGGGGGCTTCACAAGAGGAAGCTTGCCACTGCATGGGACTTTCCAGTCTGGGCGGGTTCTGTCACTTCGGTTGTCTTATCAGGCTGTCTCATCAGGGCTTGGCACCCGGAGGAAGCTGCTAACTGAAATGTTGGTGGCTTGGGTTTGGTTCCGCCTAACAACTTTCTGTTAGGTTTGACAGGGGATTGGCATTTGATCTTTAGCATCTCTGATAATTCAGACCTGATAGTTGATGATTATGCCAAATAACCATGTACTGTTTACATTTTGTATTATTATTTTGTTTATTTATTTTGTGGAGGTTGCAACTGCAAAGTGCTGAGAGGAAGAGAAAGTCTGGCTTATGAAGGCTCCAGTTACTCAAATAAAACTGTCCTTTCCTCAATCTCAATTTATAGTTAGCCTCTTTACTTTCTTCAGGCATGTGTAATAACGAGACAGGGAAATATATCCACTAGAACAAGATGGTAAAAAACTCTGCTTTTGAATCAGATTCTATTTACTATCTGTCTGAAAAACACTGAGCAAGTTTTTCATATGTCTCTGATCTTGAGTTTTCTCACATATAAAAATGGGATTAAACTAATGCTGGTTTCATAGACTTGTTTTGAGGGTTAAAGAATCCACAGCCAATTTTTAGTAGTGTTAGTCATAGAGTTAATCTACTATGCTGCCATTTTTCTCTTTCTCTCGCTTAGTCACCACATCATCATCATCACCATCAATATTATTTCTATCTTGCTGCCATGTGGGTTCCTTGATATTCATATTATTATAAATGTGTGGAAGGATTTGAGGAACTAGCCCAGTCCTGTAGGCATAAGACTTTGGTTTGATTCTGAGCATCACTGTTGTTGTTATTTGCCATCAAATTGAACTCGATTCATAATGAAATATCCTGGACGAGTGTAGTAGAATTCCCAGAGAACAAAGCAAAACTACTTAGCTTATCCTTGGAATAAGGGGGAAAACAGATTTAAACAAGTTCTATAGAGACCCTTTTATTAAGCCTTAGGATAAAGACAAAAGAAAGACAATCATCCAGAATGAGATAAATCATCAGCATGTACACAGTGCAGAAGGACAAATGGAGTTCACAGAGTCACAGCCATGGGGCTAATTATATACAATTTAAAGCAAGGAAATCATCACAAAATCATAATGGGTCACAGATCAATTCATCACTGTTGCACTGGAACTACAGAAGTGAATAAAGAACCATGATTAGGATCCTTAAATAACTGAATATTAAAAAGAGTTACAGAACTGATTCTGGGGGTTGACCATTTGGCTGTATGGTAGTCCTGATATTTTGTAGGTAGGAGACATGTTGAGGTGTCATCCTTCATGCTGTACACCTTAAGAGGCCACTATGTAACCAGACCAAGGTGGCTACAAGGCAATACCAGTATACCAATCTTAATTTAAATTAAAAAAGGACACAGTCAAGTTCTCTAGTTCTTTGTGTGAGCATAATGTACTTTCAACCACACTATTCCTGAGGGCAAACTGCTTCTCCCTAGGTTTGTCCAGGAACTTTTATATGCATAGCCACAGTGGTGGTTTAAAGATCAGAAGCAACTCAAATAGTCCTTTAAACTTATGTCAAGACTCAACATGGAGTTAGGGCCCCCAATCTAGCAGCCTTGCACAAACCAGGTGCTTCAGAATTTAAGCTCCAATACATCCCATGTCTACAGATATCCAGGACATAGCTGAAGCCAGAGTACATGTACAGAACCCAAAGCCTCAGCATTGGTATGTGTTTATCAGATCAGCACAAACAGCCTCGGTCCCTATCCTCCTTCCTGAATTCATATTGCAGATGCTAGCCTTGAAAAAGTAAACAAATAACATACAAAAACCTTAGGATGCGTTAAACCAAAACCAAACCAATCCCACTGTCAGTGTTGTTGTTGTGTTGTTACGTGCCATCCAGTCGGACTGACTCATAGCAACCCCTTCTTGGGTTTCCGAGGCAGTATCACTACGGAGGTAGATTGCCAACCTTCCCTTGAGGAGTGGCTGGTGGGTTTGAACCACCAGCCTTCTGGTTAGCAGTCAAGTGCCTTAGGCACTATGCTACCACTATTTGGTAATTGTTACTGTTAATTTCAGTGCGGCAGAGATTTCAGTTGAAGTCAATCCTTTTTCCCATTGATTTAAGATATACTTGGACGCTCAATACACTGATAACTTCCTTCTTTATCATTTTTGTTTTCGTTTTGGTTTCAGCTCCTTCCAAGATCACTTTTGCCATTGATGTGGGGAACGGCCCTGTGCAGCTCATAGTCCAGTCGCCTTCTCCTCTGAATGACAACCAATGGCATTATGTCCGGGCTGAGAGGAACCTCAAGGAGACCTCACTCCAGGTGGACAGCCTTCCTCGAAGGGTCAGAGAGACTTCGGAGGAGGGCCATTTCCGATTGCAGCTGAATAGCCAGTTATTTGTAGGTAGGAGACATGTTGAGGTGTCATCCTTCATGCTGTACACCTTAAGAGGCCACTATGTAACCAGACCAAGGAAAGTAGATATTTTATTTTAGGCTTGGAAAATGATTAAAATATGTCATAAAACATTTAAAATCATGAACTTAATTTTTCATTAATTCTTTCTTTCTGACTTCATTAGCTATAGCATTAGCAAATTTTGCAGTGGTCTCTGATTCTTTCTATGTCTGTTCTCTTTGTATATGTTACTTTCAGTCTCCATAAACCCCTGTTGTTTGTCATACTTGTGATCAAAATCTACTCATAGAAAAAGAATGTATCATCCATTTTCACCTTAATCCATGTGCTCTAAAACAGTGGGACTCTTCTAAGAGAAACCCAACACCTGATAATTATTGATAACAGTACAGTGAAATATGTTGTGCCATTTCAAAGGGATTTCAATCAGTATAATGGTGAGAGATGAGTATTCCTTTTTAAACTAGGCACTGCCTCAATACTCTGAAATCATTGGTACCACTTAAGTGGCTGCTTTATTGCTTGCACGGAGAGGCAGTCTTGCTCCACTAACAGACATCTGTCTACTGGCCTTTCCCAGGAGACTTGGAATTGGTCTACAATGTTTTGTTCATCTGAATATGCTGCTCCTGCTCTAAGTGGAGACTGGAAAGACTCAGACACCATCCTCTGAATCATTGTCTTATTCATTCAACACATACTTACCAAGTGCCTAAGACAGGCTTTGTTCCAACAGAAGAAAAGGATACTCTGTGGTTTAAAATCAGGAAAAGCGTGCATCAGGATTCTGTATTTTCACCACATTTATTCAACCTGTATGCTGACCAAATAAACCAAAAAGTTAGACTAGATGAAGAACACAGCATCAGGATTGGAGGAAGATTCATTAATAACCTAGGGCATGCAGATGACACATCCTTGCTTGCTGCAAGTTTAGAAGACATGAAGCACTTACTGATGAAGATCAAAGACTATGGCCTTCAATATGGATTATACCTAGCATACAGAAAACAAAAATCCTCACAAATAGTCCAATAAACAGCATCATGATAAATAGAGAAAATAATGAACTTGTCAAGAATTTCATTTTACTTGGGTCCACAATCACATCCATGGAAACAAGAGTTAAAAAATCAAATGACATATTGCATTGGGCAAACTTGATGCAAAAGACTTCTTTAAAGTGTTTAAGAGCAAAGATAACACTTTCAAGACTAAGGTGTACCTGGCCAAAGCCATTGTATGTTCAATAGTCTCATATGTTTATGAGAGCTGGACAATGAATAAAGAAGACAATAAAACAATTAAGCATTTGCATTGTGGTGTTGGTAAAGAATATTGAATATACTTATGGACCAGGAGCTGTGGTAGCATAGTGCCAAAGGCACTTGACTGCTAACCAGAAGACTGGTGATTCAAACCCACCAGCCACTCCTTGGAAGGAAGGTTGGGCAATCTACTTCCGTAGTGATACTGCCTCGAAAACTTAAGGAGGGGTCGCTATGAGTCAGGTACAACTTGATGGCACATAACAACAATAACAACAATGGACTACTAGAACAAGCACATCTGTCGTAAAGGCAGTACAAGAGGAATGCTCATTAGAATAGTCACTTCATTTCTCATACTTGGATCATGGTATCAGAAGGGATCAATCCCTGGAGATGGATATCATGCTATGTAAAGCAGAATGAAAAAGGGGAAAACTCAACAAGATGGATTAACATAGTGGCTGTAATGATGATGAGCACAAGCACAGCAACAATTGTGAGGATGGCACATGTCTGGGCAATATTTCTTTCTGTTGTACTTAGGGTCACTAAAAGTCAGAACTGACCTAACTATACCTAATAACAAGACAGGCTAGGTGCTTGTTTGGATGGTTGGGATTGATCTTATAGTCATGTTTGTGTGTGTGTGTGTGTGTGTGTGTGTGACAGATAAGGCCTGGGATTTTTAGCAAGAGTTCTATCATTAGCAGTTGAGCCTATTAAAATTGGCAAGATTTTAACTCTCTTGTTGTAATTCCTGGGGTTTTATAAACATAAGGGATTGTGTGTACAGGTGATAGTGTGTATGTCTGTATGTTGAAAGAGAGAGAGATGTCAGCAACATTAGATGTCACTCAAGGTAGAAAACCAGACTTATGCTTTAATTCAAAAAGGATTTCTTGAAAGTGGGTTGAACAGGGCTTGTAAAATTTAAAAACATGAAAAAATAGCTTTAAATGTTTTGTTGTTGTTAGGTGCCATTGAGTCAACTCTGACTCATGAGAACCATATGTACAACAGAACAACACACTGCCTTGTACTGAGCCAGACTCATATCCTTGATATATCTGAGTCCATGGTAGCAGCCACTCTGTCAATTCATCTCATTAAGGGCCTGCCCCTTTTTAGTTGACGCTCCACTTTAATGGGGAGTTCTGGTGTCATAGTACCTAAGGAATTTGACTGCTAACCAGAGGCTGTCAGTTCAAACCCACCAGCCTCTCCTCAGAAGGAAGATTGGGCAATCTACTTCTGTAAAGACACCACCTCAGAAACCCAAGGAGGGGTCACTATGAGTCAAATCAACTTGATGGCAGTGAGTTTGGTTTTGGTTTTTCCACTTGAACAAGCATGATAGCCTTCTCCGGGAATGGTCCCTTCTGAAAACATGACCAAAGTAGGTGAGACAAAGTCTCATTCTCACTTCCAAGGATAATCCCAGCTGCATTTCTTCCAGGACAGATTTGTTAGTTCTTCTGAAAGTCCACGGTATTTTCAATATTCACCAACACCACAACCCAAAAGCGTCAACTCTTCTTCATTCATTGTCCAGCTTCACATACATATGAGTGAATGAAAATAACATGGCTTGGGTTAAGCACGCCTTAATCAAAAACAAACATCTTTGTTCTTCAGCACTTTAAAGAGGTCTCTTACAACATATTTTCCCAGTGCAATATATTGTCTGATTTCTTTATTACTTCTTCCATTGGTGTTGATTATGGAACCAAGTAATATGAAATATTTGACAACTTCCATCTTTTCTTCATTTATGCTGATGCTGCTTATTGGTCCAAGTGAGAGAATTTTTGTTTTCCTTATGTTAAGATGTAATCCATACTGGAGACTATAGTCTTTAATCTTCATCAATCAGGGCTTCAAGTCACCCTCACTTTCAGCAAGCATAGTTGTCATTGTATCGCAGGTTGATAATGACTCTTCCTCTAATCCTGATACCATGTTATTCTTCGTATAGTCAACCTTCTTGGATTATTTGCTCAACATGCAGATTGAATAAGTATGGAGAAAGTATGCAACCCTGACACACTCCCTTCCTGATTTTAAACGATGTATCCCTTGTTCTCAAAATAGGACTGGGAAAGAGCTGCATCATCAAAGTAAATACAGCCTTACTCATATGGATAAGGTAAAGTTTTCAAGACCTCCATTTACTGATATGGCACCACTCAAATTGAGGAGAAACAGCTGCAGACATCCATTAATCATCAGAACATGGAATATAAGAAGTATGAATATAGGAAAATTGGAAGTTGTCAAAAATGAAATGGAATGCATAAAGATTGATATCCTCGGCATTAGTGAGCTGAAATGGACTGGTATTGACCATTTTGACTCAGACAGCCATGTGATCTACTGTGCCAGGAATGATAGTTTGAAGAGGAATGGTGTGACATTCATCATCACAAAGGATATTTCAAGATCTGTCCTGAAGTACAATGCTGTCAGTGATAGGATAATATCCATACACCTACAAGGAAGACCCCTTAATATGACTATTATTCAAATTTATGCACCAACCACCAAGACAAAGATGAGGAAATTGAAGATTTTTATCAACTTCTGCAGTCTGAAATTGACCGAACATGCAATCAGGATGTGTTAATAATCACTGGCAACTGGAATACAAAAGTTAGAAACAAAGAAGAATCACCAGTAGTTGGAAAATTTGGCCTTGGTGACAGAAATAATGCTGGAATTCGTATGGTAGAATTTTGAAAGACCAATGACTTATTCATTACGAACACCTTTTTTCAACAACACAAATGGTGGCTCTACACATGGACTTCACCAGATGGAACACAAAGAAATCAGATTGAAAACATCTGTGGCAAGAGACAGTGGAAAAGCTCAATATCTTCAGCCAAAACCAGGCCAGGAGCTGACTGTGGAACAGACCATCAACTGCTCATGTGCAAGTTCAACTTGAAGTTAAAGACAATTAAAACAAGTCCAAGAGAGCCAAAATATGATGTTGAATATATCCCTCCTGAATTTAGAGATCATTTAAAGAATAGATATGATGCATTGAACAACAATGACTGAAAACCAGAAGAATTGTGGGAAGATATCAAGAACATTATCCATGATGAAAGCAAGAGATCACTAAAAAGATGAGAAAAGAAGAGAAGACCAAAATGGATGACAGAAGAGACTCTGAAACTTGCCCTTGAGTGGAGAGTAGCTAAAGCCAATGGAAGAAATGACAAGATAAAAGAGCTGAACAGAAGATTTCAAAGACCAGCTTGAGAGGACAAAACCAATAACTATAATGAAATGTGCACAGACCTGGAGTTTGAGAACCAAAAGGGAAGAACACACTTGGCATTTCTCAAGTTCAAAGAATTGAAGAAAAAATTTAAGCCTTGAGTTGTAATATTGAGATTCTATGGGCAAAATATTGAATGATGCAGGAAACATCAAGAGACGATGAAAGGAATACACAGAGTCATTGTACCAAAAAAAACTGGTCAATTTTCCTCAATTTCAGGATGTGGCATATGATCTAGAACCAACGGTACTGAAGTCGAAGCTGCAATGAGAGAATTGATGAAGAACAAGGCTCCAGGAATTGACGGAATACCCATTGAGATATTTCAACAAATGGATGCCCCATTGGAGGCACTCACTCGGTTATGCCAAGAGATTTGGAAGACAGCTACCTGGCCAACTGACCGGAAGAGATCCATATTTGTA